AACTGGTTCAGACAAAAATTGCCACTCCTGAACCAAACTGAGGCCTTCATTTGCTGTTCAAAAATAGTTTTTTTGATGTCAACTCTCGCTTATTCAGTTTTTAATTTTCAGGCGCCTGTGCACTTCCTGGTCTCAGGCATGACAGGAAATGGAAGTACCAAAATATTGTGCAAATGGCTGTGTCTGTGGTAATTCTGGTTTGGCCAAAGAAATGGAAACACTAGCAAAGTCCTGAGTGCGCCAGATCTTGAAAAGATTCCTAGCCTGATTTCCAAACCAACATGGTTAAGATAGGTTTGGATAGCAGTGAAACCTTGCAATGCTTCTCAAAATGAACCAAACCCAAGGTTTGCCAACTGTCAAGGAATATACAAGGCAGTTCTTCGAGCTATTCAGTGGACAACAGGGAAAGAACAAACACCTCAAAACTGACCAAAAGATTGTCTGTGTGATTTTCTTCTGTTTCCTGTGTCCAGCTCTCCCCTTCCTCGTCGAAGCCCGCTTCCACTCTTTGCTTCTAGTTCTAAAATATTATGTGTGTGTGCAGTCAACCTGCCATCTCCATTATGTATTTCACATTATAAGGTCCAGTTTATGTTGGCTGCATGTAGAAACATTACTATTAACTCCTGATCAAAAGTTCTACTGACTCTTTCAATAATAATTCTCACAGGTTTTATTTTTGTTCCTTTAATAAGAAGTGTCTTTAGAGCTTAGTGTACAGAAGCATTGTTGAAAGTGTTTTATTTTCAGAGCTCATGCACCCTTGGTTGTACCACTGCCCATTTGCAGTAACAATGCTGTTGTTAGGATCTGGAGTCACTTACAGTTTTATTTATGGTCCTGGGTTTTGAGTCACAATTAGAGTAATTTTTCCAAATGTTTGGGTTCGTAGGCGCCATCCAAATGGATCCTTAACTTGGAAAGCTTTGATTGTGTTTAGTTTCCCTCTATTGAACTACCTTAGCAGCCCATCTTATATTGCTGAGTGTTGTGGAAGCTATCCAGGGCATTAAATGCCATTGAATGCTCACAAAGCATGTGCCAAGGGAAAAAAAAAGAAAACAATCGTTCCCTGAAATATTCAGCCTTTAACAACAAGAACTTTTAACAGACAGAGGTGTTCATTTCAAGAAGCGATTTCAAGCAAATTTTCCTCCTTTGTAAGATCTAAGATCGATATTATACTGAGAAGGACACATGGTTTGGCAAAGCTTTGAAAGCATAAAATTTCGTAGTTGTGGTATAAGTCATCAAGATTTTAAAATAAGAAACACCTGTGTCTTATTGTTTGTACAAACACATGCACACGCACACACAACACTGCCACTGAGATAAAAGGTAAGTGAATGGTTCCAAAACTATGGCATAAACAATGCCAAAGTAAGTGTGGTGATATGTGCAGTCATCTCAAGACGTAGGCATCTTATGAAGAAAATTAGTTTAATTTAAGACATTGCACTTCAAAACATAAAAAAGATTATGTAGCTTGTAAAGATATGACTATTCCCCTACTACAATACTACAGTAATGCTCAGGCCATTTATCTATTTCATATGGTCAAAAAGCATGGGTGCATAGAGGATAAAAAATATAACATCTCCAAAATGTTCCAACAATGTACTATAAGAATAGCAGACTATTACCTGCCTTTCTATAAACAAGGTTAAAGGACAAGTTTAGTTGAGATATTTTGTAGAAAGTAAGAATGTTTTATATTAATATTTTACACACAGGGAGGGAAAATCAAGAACAGCCAAATTGGCTACAGTCTCTCTAGATCTCACGGTTGCTTATTAGACAGCTTTCAAGCTACCTTCCCAAAATGAAAGTGATTGTTCTGTTGCCAATGTTTGTTTATTTGAAATAGCAATAAAAATAACACTAAATAATGTCTGAATAACACTAAATAAACACTCCTTCCCCATCCAGCTCTGTGTAATTCATATTTGGAATATGATGTTTCCCCTTACTTCATCTCTTATTGCAATATGTTTCTACTCAGGAAACAAGGGTTTGACAGCAACTGTAACAAGGAGGATCTTCTGACCACAAGAGGGCCGAGACTGCTCCCAATTCAAAGTAACTTGTCTATGTCTAACCCAGCAGACCCTAAAGATCTTCTAAATTTGGGGGCCCTAGTACATGTCCTGGCTTCCCAGTAAATTAATATTCACATGTGCATCAGCCCATTCTTCATGTTTCTCCTCTTCGTTGGTGCACATGTTCTGTCTGGGCCCACATTTTGGACAGAGAGAAATATAACTACGAACAGTAATTTACCTCTCATTTAAATGCAGACATGAGAAACAAATGACCAGACTCTAGATTACTTGATGCATCTCAACAACCTGATGACTTCTGTGATGTATCAGCCTGCTAGAAATTAGTCCAATAACTATTATGGAGGTTGTAAGAAGTCATATATTCATCACTCCCTGCAGACCTTACAGGGCTCAGTCCTGGAAGCACAAATTAGGCACATAGGCAATTGAGAATTTACTGGAATTATCATCTGTGTGAAAACTCTGTAACCTCCTGGCTAATAGACTACTGCAAAGCTTCCCACATCAGAAAATCACATATTCACTAAGCTAAAAACATAGGTGGTTTCTTTGCTTCTTTATGACCAAGAGAAATCTAATGCAAAACTATTATTAGTAATTAAACAGGGATATGCCTCTAAACAACTAGAAGTCCTGTCTGTTTCTGAGACTAGCAAGAATGTCAAGTTAAAACAGCCTAAAATCTGTTTGGTCAGATCAAAACATAGAGACACCCTCCTTATCACTATCACCACCAGACATCATCCAATTTGAAGTTTAGAACTCCAAGCTGCTCAAAATACAAAATGAAAACTCTGATCCATGTAGTCATCTTTTTAAAATGACAGTGATTCCAGGAACTTTAAAGTTGCTCTCACTAGAAGGAGCTTAAATTTAACTATAAGGAAGTTGCTGAGGTTCATTTTTTTTGGCAGATATATCACAGTGGTTAAGGAGACCGTGCCCTTGTCACAGCCACCACCTGTCAAGGTGTACATTCCATGCCCATGATGAGGTGATTCCAGCAGGGCTATGCACACTCTTCCCCATAATCATCCTGTAGTTTTCATGAACCTTAAGTCCACTGTGCAGCGTGCTCTGTCGCCGTGGTCTCTGGTTATTTTTGAAAATACCAGTCTGTCTTTACTATTCTTCCAGGCACAGATAAAGGGAAATTCTTCATCTGGCATGTAGAAAAGAACTGTGTTGTTTTCTGTCATCACACAGCAAGTTAAAAAAGGCATACCTTTCCTTGGACTTTTTATGCAATCTGGATTTGTGGGGGTTTTTTATGATTTATGCAGATATTATACATGCTTAAGAGAGGTACGTGTGAGAAACTATTATACAACCTATGAGCTACAAGCAAAATGACTACAGGAGTAAAGAATGATTGAGAGTTGTGGTATTTGTTGCTGTTTTTGTGTTTAAATAGGGAAGTACACAAGCAGTAGAAATAAACCTGTCTCATGCAACCAGAACTCAAAGTTTAGTCTTGTAGAAAGATGTAAAAAGTATGTTTGCCAATGTGTATGTGCACTGTTTTTTTACTATGGGTGTCTGAGTGTTCATTACCCATTTTATGGAAGAGGTATTTCTAATGCAGACTGGAATTTGTACGTGTTAGCCATCGCTGCAAGAAGAACACAGGCAGCAGCCAAACTAGCACAGGCTCACTACCTGCAGCCACCTAGCAACATGGCTAGCTACCCCTTCTGAAAACTTTGAGTTTAATTCAGTCCAAAATTCTGAATGCATTGGTAGCATAAAGTGGGTGTTCCAACCGATTGACTGTTCTGTCCATGATTTCAAGAAATGCACATTACTCTAAGGTCCACAAACAAATGATACTCATGGGGAGAAGAGAGAGCAGAGGGGCCTGAGAGATGTCACAACCAATGCTGAAGTCAAATATGACTGTATGAATCTATGTCATTTAACTTCCAAAGTCATTGCCAAAATGCCTTTGGCCAGATTTTGCTTCCTTTAGTTCTGTGAGATAGCAAGCACTCAGTGAATCATGGACCTGTTAGCGGCAGTTCACGTACACTGTATTAAAAGGCATTGGAATCATTTGAGATTAATGATAATGGAACAATCAGTTGTATTTTGCTTCTAGAGAGAAAGACAGAGAAAGACAGAGAAAGAGAGAAACTCTACAAAATTCTCATTATTTCACAGAAACATCCTGACAGACTGAGACGAAAATAGTCTATTTCACTTTGCAACTGCCAGTAACTCTAGCATAATAAACCTCCAAAGGGCAGAGCCCTCACCAAAACACTTAAAAACAGCTTGAAAGGGGTACTCACTGCCCTATGTTTACTCAAGCACTTGTTTAAAAACACATTTAAGGAAAATGTTTTTATTTCTACAGATTGCATTAATTATAGCTTTGCAAACACTGTGAGTTCTACAAGAAGATTGAACTGAGCTATTAGCTGCAAACCTCACGTCCTGGCTAGAGAAGTGGTCATGGCTTATTTAGCAAGCCTAATGAATTGGCTCACCCGCCTCTAAGCCGAGCTCCATGTTTAGCATCATGGAGAGGCTGTTTCACGTCACTTTATAATTAAAAATAAAATAAAACCGGTCAACCAGACAGGGTCCAAAAGCAGACCTCAGTGCAGCATTATTCCCCTTCCGGAAAAATAAAAGCATCAGTACGGGCACTGACATTGGTCCCAGGTCCTGCGGAGACCCACAGTAAACTTCCACTTAACTACCACGCTTTCCCCTGGAAAAACGCAGTGTTTGTCGCCGGGAGCAGCGCGGCTGCGCTCCGCTTCCCACACACGCACCCGCGCAGCCGTCCGCGGCTCAGCTCTAACCCTGCGCGCGGGCCGGACCGGGCAGCGGCTCTTTCCCGAGGGCTTGAGAAGTGCAAACACCTCGGGTGGCGGCGGGGGCAGCGCATCAACCTGTCCGCTCAGGTGCGCGGCGGGGCCGCCTTACCGTGAGTGCGGAGAGTTTCTGCGCTGGCACGGCCGGGAGCAGCTCCGGGAGAAACAGCAGCAGCAGCAGCACCCCCATCCTGCGGCGGGCCCCGGGAGGCG